ATATATATATATATATATATATACATATATATACACACATATATATATATACATATATATACACACATATATATATACACATATATATATATATATACACATATATACATATATAGATATATATATAGATATAGATATATATATATAGAAAATAATAAAATTGGTAATTGATTTTATTTCACCGGAGCATTTATAAAACTCATAATAAAGACTCATATTCATTCACATTTATTTTACAAAACCACACACAAACAAAAACAAATATATACACATTGACTACAACTGCTTTAAGTGAAGGACTGTATGATTTTTATGTAGAGCTTTTACCAGAAGTTGAGAAGTTTTTCCTGAACTAAGACTTACTTTTGCAGATAACAGAGGAAAGCGATTATGTGAATTACTTTACATGTTAACTAGCCGTCAAATGTTAAGCGCACTGATTATGTATCTGTATTTTGAGGTAAGTATTGTCTACCTCGTACATAATCATGAGTATGATCCCATGCATATGGCCCCAAGTCCTCTGCTATTACAACCCACCATCACAAAAGAAACTGAGCATCAAAAATGCCTTGAACCAGCCAAAAACATCTAAAATGATCAGCGTGCGAGTTCCTCTAACACAGCAGAGCACCTCACAACGGCACACAAAGGTTGAGGGGGATGGAGACGGATCTTCGGATTGTCAATCCGCGGCCGACGGTCGATTCAACAGGACAGAATGAGCTCTATTTACAAAGTCCAAAAGTATCAAACAGGGCTCTCCTGTCCTTTTTGTCCTGAAGATCTCTCACGACGACTGCTGGAAGAAGCTCTTCCATATGTCGTCTGTCGCGGCTGGGTTGTCCGAGCCCAGAGTCGTGTACTGCGGCGTCTCCTCTAGTTCGTCGACTGGAAAACAAACAAAATGAAAGGTCAGGATGGCGAAGAAGAATGTTATTTCATTATTAAATACAAAAAACATTTCAGAAAGTGACGTTCCTCTATATCGCTGGAGTACAACATTAATAATTCATTGCTGAAAACTTTTTAAAGAACAGCAAGTACTTGATTTTATTCAACGAAACCGCATATCTTAAGAACTCCACGCATACAATATTTTTTAAATGAAGGAAACTACTCAAAAAGTTGCTCCTCATTTTTCGTGCGTTTTCCAACTAAAGTCAGCAACACGTGTCAATTTCAGCTCGTTACAAACATACGGTCTTTTAAAAATAAACTTCCGTCTTCACAGGAAACTACTCAGTTAGGTTTAGGAAAAAATTGTCGTTTTGAGTTAAAATAACTAACGAGTAAGCGACTTACGTGACAAATAAACGTTAACTAACGAACAGCGATCTGCTGGCTGAGAGATGGCTGTCTGTTGGACCCATCCACCTCCCGCCCTGTTTGTGCTTTTGCGTTCTTTATACTCCCTTATTCATGATTACGTGGATATCTAAGAATTACAGCTGATTATTTTTCATAGAAACAGATGCAAAGTTTATTTCACTTTAAGTTGTACCGGTGCTATAAAGCCACCGTCCTTCTAACTCACACCAGTGTGCCTACTACTTGCATCAGTGTTTTAATAATGTTTTAAGGAACACCGAAACGCATTCCTCATGTTTCGCATGCATTTGGAGACAGTTTGTCCACCTGTTAGTGACATTTACCTGAGGACGATTCACTCCACTGGCTGCCTGGACTGGTGCATGCTTCATTGCTCAGGAACCCCGTGCCGTCAAAGCTGCCCAACATCCAGTGTGAGTCTTTCTCCAGTTGCTGACAAATCTGAAAGAGCAACACTGGACTCAGTATGGCTATCTTTTAGTTTTTTCTCTCACCCCCCCCCCCACTTAATACCAAACAGTCTTAATGTTTTGGGTATTAATACTTTAGCCAAACAGGCCGACTAAGACAAACATGGGTATTCCTGACAATGAAAAATGCATGCAGGTAAGAGGAGATAGTCCCGTGCTTACCTTGACAATGTCTTCGGAATAGTCGTAGTCTGGAAGATCACAGCAAAGGGAGAGAGAGGGAGGGGGAGGGCGAAGAAGAGGGGACAGTGAGTATGGCACCGCGATATCCATCCATCTGAGTCTTAATTTAAACCATTTATTTGTTAGCAAGTGTGCCACGTGCCGTCGCCGTCGTCTTACCGGTGCTGTGCTCGGGTGAAACTTCGAATCTCTGGCTGAAGCTGTTTGAAAAGCCGGAGTCGATTTCCACCGACAAACTCCATTCAGGGACTTCAGACGGAGGCACAAATGGGAAATCTGCAAAGATCAAACAATAAGTGTTAAATACACTCGATGCTCCGGCTTTAAGGGCTTCAAGTACACAGCTACGACTGGACGGCACAATAGATTTTAACGTTAATTATCCGGATTGTTTTTTTCCCCTCACCTGGCTGCTCAGTTTGCATCGTGCTGTCGACCGTGTTCTCCTGAGTGGATGAAGCGCCTTCTTGCACGGGAGTGTCGCTGTAGTCCTCGTCGTCCTCCTTCTTGATCATTGAGTTCTGCGGAGGCAGAGAAAGTGAGATTTAGGACATGAGAAAATACAAACAGTTGGCTACAGTCATATTACTATATGTGTTTTTCAATGTGAATAGGCTTCTGACTATGTAACAAGTGTCACAAAATACCACTAAAGTCAGCATAAACATAAAAGGCGCAAAAGATATCTTTACCTTCCTTCGTGAGTTTGTTTCCTTCGCTTTGCAGTGTTTATCTGTGCAGAAGAAAGAAAAACAATTAGATTTGTTTTATCATAGAACAAACTGACTTGATAGAAAGAAAAAACAAGAGTCAGCAGACGCTATTTTAAGAAAAAAAACCTGCTCGCTTCCTGTCTCACCTCTAGATTTGGGTCTGGCGGGCAGCATCCTGAAGACGCGCACAGCTTGGTGGCCTTTGTTGATGCTCTTGTCTTTCACCTCCTCGATGTCAGGCAGCGAGTTCATCGCACAGCGGAAGTTGGCTTTCCAGGTCTTCGGGTCGCAGGTCTGACCTTCCACGTGTTTCCCTGCACAATGCACTTTGTTTAGTCTCCTAACACTTTTCAACCCCCCCCCTCCGTACTTCCAAAAACACCACACACCCAGTTTTGTATCTGCAGAGGGTGCGTTCACGCTTGCTCACCTGTGTGGATGGCCCATTGTTTGAAGAGATTTGCGTCCTTCTCCATCTCCCAGCCGTGGCGAGCTGCATGCTTCCAGGGGATGGAGAACATCGTCTTATCCTGGAAAAGAAACACAGAAGGAAATACTGAGTTGGATCGAGGGTTCGGCGTAGAGCAGACTAAAACACGGAGCACACGTTTTTCAAACACTGCAAAGGCTGCCATTCAAACTCAGCGGCTAATGTCGACAGTTTTCTACTACAAAGCCACGATTATGGTATTTGCAAAGCAAATAGTAGCCACAGAGGATAAACACATGCACACCAAACAAGCTGGGTTTGTTTTTGCATACCGTGTTAGAGGTTTTTAATTTATCTTTGACACGTTGGTCCCATTTGTCACTCAAAAATAAAGTAGAAATAGAATATGCTGTAATATCTGTGAAATAGAGACCAAACTTGTGCTGCATCTAACTCTCGGTGTGTATTTTCGAGGGTGTCTGGTTTCAAACGTTTCCTTTTTCCTCAGCTTTCTACTATAACACTTTTTTTTTTCTTTATTTCTGTACAACACAAAATTCATCCAAACTTCAAACAAGCTGCTACTCTAAGTGCAGCCTTGAAGATCACTTCCCTCTTGGCCACTGTTGCTGCTCTTGATCTACAACAAGTACATTTCAAGATATCTGTTTCTGTCCTCATTTCGGTTAACTGACCACACACTTATAGTAAATGTATTTATTTATTTTTTTACTTGAACCAATGCAATTTGATTTTGAAGAAAAAAGAGCTCTTACGATGTCCATCCAGTTCAGGCCCGAGATGGCGTTCGACTCGATCTGCTTCTCGATCCATGGCCTCATCCTCATCCTTGACACGGGCATGTTTGACCTGAAATATGCAGCGAACAAAAAGGAAAAATGAGTCTCGAGACGTGAGGAATGCGATATGTACAGCCGCGCTTGAGGAAATGTACTTCCGCAGTTTAGATTTATTGCTGCCTGCTGCGCGCGGAAGAAGGCTGTGAGGAGTTCACGGCCGGGGCAAGGCAAGCGAACAGAGAGGGGGGGGGAGAGGGGGGGGTCGTTTACGCGTAGGAGTCGGCGCTACTTGTGAACGACCGAGAGGAAGAAAAAAAAATATTTCCTGATTGGGGCTTTTGTGGCTTTAGCATTCAATAAAGTTTGCAAATGCACGTGGACTTATTTTGCGGCTGAAAAGTTTTTGGGGAGAAAAAAAAGTCGAATTTATCCGAGCAGGAGGCGTTTGGAGAGGTGCGCCAAAATGACCCCTTGCGCGCGCGGAAAACTCACACCTCCTCCTGCACTGCTGCATGGATACGGTGCAGATTTGAAAAAAAAAAAATTAAACAGTCATTTCATCTCAGTTGAATCAACTGCTGAGCGCGTGGTGTGCAAGAATTTGACCTACACTTTACCTTCCGAAAAACTAAAAAAACAAAAGAGATGTTCGAGGCTACTTTATAGTCCTGTTCGTGTGCTCACGATTTTTTTAATTCTCAAAATTAGATACCGGCAATAAAAAAATAAAAAAAGTTTAATCATGAGGCATTCCATGCAAGAAGAAGTGATAAATATCAAATCACTTACGGAATGTGTTTGATATGTGATCCGTAAAGAGGAAGAAAATGCAGGAGAAGAGTCCGATTGGTTTAAGTTTGTTCCAGAGAAGCTTCTCCTCGTCTTTGTGTTATCCACCTGGAGGCAGGTCTCGATCAGAAGTGGGCACTGACTGCTCATCGAGGGGACGCGCGCTTTTATACATTCGGTGTAGGTGTGGAAGGGTTTTCCCCGGCTGCGTGAGGAGCGTGCACGCTGTAAAAAGATGTCCACCCCGGAAGAAAAGCAAATTAAAATCGTATCTTTCAACCAAAACAAGTCTCATTGTAAACAACTGATGTCATCTCTGCGTGTATGCAGATCAACCCCCCCCCGTCTCACTAAACAAAAAGGGATTTCATGATTAAAAGACACAACGGATTTAAGTGTGTAAATTAAGTTTAGGTTCATGGTTGATATGTTTTACAGTGTTCTCTGTCTTCTGCAGGCGCATGCGCAGCTGCTGGCCCCTTTCAGCTGCAGACCTGTTTCCGAGAAATCACGTTGTTGAATGCAAGAAGGAAGTTAAACAACAACACTTGTTGGTGACAGCACGTAGACTCTCATACCTGAGCTAGACCAGTTTTATATTTAGTCCAAGTCCAGTCCTGCAGACTTAGTATCCCATGCTTATTGCAAACGTGTTTAACATTTGCAGGTATTGTCACAATGTGGATTGTATAGGCTTTATAAGGATGGATGCTATTTATAGGCTATAGTTTTATTATTATATGTTAATGTGTCATATAGGCCTGCAGAACATAGTTCTAACTATAGTGATGTTTATAATGATAATTAAGATATTTTACTATTAGACTAGTCTAGTGGTCTGTAATATAAACATGTAGTTTGGCAATTGTGTAAAATTATTAGAATAAAAAGAAATATGCATATCAAATTAGGACTACACACACACACGCGCACACGAGCATTCATCCTCCAGATACCAAAGGTGACCCACGCCCGGCACGATAATCATGTGCACGAGACCAGCCCTTTAGTGTAAACGGCTCTCAGCAGAGAAGCCGGGCATTTATAAGAAATGGTGTAATCATTTAATTTCGCAGGCAGGGGCGCTGCAGCTGCAGTAACGGGCTTAATGTGGTTCATGCACACAGACTAGTCTGCAGCAGCGGTGTGTTGATGTGGAGCGGCGAGGACGCAACGTGTAGGACCCACGGTAGAAACAGCATCTGTGTGGACTCAATAAAACGCTCGTTATCATCCATATATGTGTTAATAATTCACCAAAGAGCTCGTGTAACGTGTAACCAATGCGTGCACACACACAAAAAAATGCAACGGAGTGAATGCAAATGACAGCACATGCATATTTAAATATTTCATTTTGTCTTATTATAGGCTACATGTTGAATTGCTCGATTTATCTCGCGGTTTGCATGTGAAAAAACTAAATGACGGAGGTCACGTTGTGAAACTGCATCGGTGCACACACAGCTCGCTTTCTCAACGGGGGGGGGGGGGGGGGTATTTTGGGATCTCCCATAGCTGTGTCGCTGTGTCGTCCCAGCTACCGGTGCCGCTGTCCTTTTAGGGGCTTCCCTGCGCGTTGTGTTTGCGCGCTCACACCGGCTGGTGCGCGCACGTATATGCGCTCGAGCGCGCTATCTGAAGGGAATAGCAAGCAGGGAGTTTTCCAGCGGAGTTTTCAGTCAAGTCTGTGGGATTTTCCAAATGAAGGCTGAAATCTGGAATCATCCCGATAATTGTTCTCGATTCCCTGTTGACGAATGACAGCAGTGTGGGGAAAAACATGTGAATTATAGGAATTCACTGGAGTGGCTGCTGCAAAACACATCTAGAGTTGAAACTTTGTTTTTTATTGATTTATTTGAAATATATGTCTTCAACAATATTACCTTTTCTATTTGTCTATGTAACATTTAAATCTGTAAAGAAATAAAGTGCTGAGTTGTTTCTATCAACACATGGCAGCATTTATTATGCTGGGTTTTGCTTCTGGCTTGTTTGGGGTAATGTAAACACACACTACTCATGCCGGGTCCAAAGGGGTTGTAAGAGGTTATGTTAACTTGACCCAGCTGCTGGTTCATTCATTTTATTGGACCCTTTTTCACAGCAGCTGTTTTGACATTTCATAACAGGGTTATTAACCGATTGACACAATTATTTACAGTCCCATTCTATTTATTGTGTCACAGCCATCCCAGTGAGCCAGCAAACACAACACCAGGGTCATACATTGATGTTATTTATTACACCTGTGTTTACTCTAAAAGTAGATCTGTCAACATGTCTGCTGTGAAACACTTGAGGTTAGACAGAAGCTCACACAACACATGTATGGTAGATTCATATGAATACTTACTTATACTTATATGCAGACATTTGTAATGTATTGTTCACCTGTCCTTCCTGTCCTACTGCACTTGAAGCTAAGTTTTAGCTAACTATCATCTAGTAATATAGCAAACAATACAATGACACCAGCCTGCTCACAACTTCCAACCTAAATCTACTTTATTTACAACGTAATCCTGGGATTTACTTTGTCCTTAGAGAAACCAGTATTATTTTGCACTGTCCATGCTTTGATGTATTTAAAGTGTTTTCACACTGTTCCTTTATTGCACCTTGTGCATACAGTGATAGTGATTCTGATTATTTGGGCCACCTGCAAAGATAAGACCGTAATATGAGGCTTTGGGGGTGAGACCAGCAGCTTGAGCATCCAATCTGCCTCTGGACCATCTGCTTTAACAGCTCAGTGACACTGGATCAAGTCAAAGCCTTCGTTAGTTAGCCAGCAATTACACTGACCTCGTGCATGGAGGGAGTGGGTGGGTGCAAACAGCAGGGTACAATAGCTACCTTTTCAGATATTTAACCCCATTGGGCCTGGATTTCAGGGGACTTTTGACCAATTTGTTTTGCATAATTGCCATTTAATACCAAGTTATTTTTCTGGATGTTTTGTGTGTCGGTGAGCTGGAGTGGTTGTTGTCTTCTTTTTCTTTTTACACTTAAAATATGTTATTATGTGAAGCACCTTCCAAAGCTATTCGGCAATGTAATGGTAAAGGTAAGAAAACCTGGGGGAGGGGGGGATCAATAATGTGATCCTTATTAACCCTTCGCTAAGCCCCCCCCCCCCCCCACACACACACACACACTGCCACTCTGTCAAGCTGTCAGAGGTATGGCACCATGGAGACCACTCTGTCACTCAGTGCCATAGAAATATGTTTTCTGCGCTCACTGCACTCCCTGAATACATGTTTAATTTTTGGAAAAGGTGATTTCAGATAGAAGGAGACAGGAGGGGCTACAATATGTGTTTGAAGTTTATATCCAGGATGTCGACGTGATTCATCAGTGAAAACAGGTTAAAAAGCTGAAGATAGAAGCTAAAGCTACAGATCACAGTGTCAAAGTGAACCACCACATCAGCTGGAGATCAGAAGACGGTGAAGTTAAGGAACAACAGTGTTCCTGTAAAGACGAGTCGGCAGCATGTGTTTACATTTACAGTTACATTACTCTGCTAATGTTCACATCACTAACTAAATAAAGTATCAGTATTACACAACGTTTAACTATCACAAGCTCCAAATCCACTAAAACCAGAACATATGAAACCATTGATGAGGGTCTCTGGAGCAGAGACCAATAGTCGTCTATTTCACAATCATTTGTACCAAATACGTAGCTCAAAACATAGTTATTTCTACGAAACTTATTTGAAATGAGAAAAGGAAGATTCAGTCCTCAAGGTACTTCTGTCCCATCATTTTAAATTTTAGAAGTATTTCCTGAGCTTTAGATTACACTGACTTAATGCATTGTGGAAGTGGGAGAGTGTAAACAGCAGCATACATTATCTACTTTTTTTTTACCCCATTTCAGAAGCATTTCCTGAAATTTAGACTTTTTCCGCTCCCATTTTCCGTTTGTTTTCTGGCTCTGGTGGTAGAGAGAGGCTTTGAGAGAGGGAAGGAGAGAAGGAAGTGCAGAAAAAAGAGGGACGGTTTGAGTGGAGGAAGAGAAAGGCAAGATGAAGGAGAGATAAAGTGAAAAAAAGTGATAGAAATAAAGTTCTACAGCATTTGCTAGAGTTTGACAGACAGAAGGTAAAATGTGGAGTTTCCATAAATGACACAAACATCCCTTCAGGCCAAACAGACACATATTACATCATCTCTGCAGGTTTTACCCAAACCGGCCTGCTGGTGCAGAGTTTTGCCTCAGTGGTTTTAAAGTTTAGCACCCCGTCAGTTCAATAAAAGTATTGTTTCAGTTCATCAATGTACCATTATCTGATAGATCCATTGTGCTACACACCAATATGACAAGGCAAAAACAGTCTAAAATATCTTGTGCTTAAAGGTTGTGAACTAATGTAGTTTTAATTCTTTAGGCCTCAAACTGTTATCTAAATGAAACCATCTGAGAAGTTTGGAGGGGAAATGCCTCTTTAGTGGAACTGTGGCATCTTAAATGTGACAAAGATCCCAAACTAGATGAAGTCACAGGCCCAAAAGGTTGGCAACAACTGGTTTAAATTTAAATCAATGCATTATATTTAATACGATTATCTTGTGTTTTTACATACAATATAAATCTGCTTGTAGTGCAGTTGAAGTATGAAGTAGCATACTCAAGTAAAGTACAGTATACCTCAAAGTTGTACTTAAGTACAGTACTTTTTTGTCATCACAATTTACACATGAAACAGTAATTCAGTTTCCTTTTCCATGTTCCCCCTCAGACAGTTTCAGTGTGATCTTTGTATTTGAAATGGAGCAAATAATAATAATAGTTATTTAAAATGTTACTGTTTTGACACGGATTAATACTTTGATTTTATGCTTTACTTTGTGATTCTGCACATTCATCGTTGGTTCAACATGTGTCTTTTTTTTCTCTCTCTCGCTGTTTGTTATTTTGTTTTTCATTGGTGAATATTTGGAGCCGTGTGTTACCTGTAGGGTGTTTAATGAATAAAAGACCAAACAACACCAAGTGAAATTAGGAAACGACAACGAGGAGGCAGGAAAGAGGTGGTTGAAGAACAACCTAAGATCTGGAAACTGTTGGCCTCCCTTCAGCCTCTGTCTTGTTCCTCCACCTGTTTTCA